CTCAAAGTTTTAAAAATGAAATGTTAAAAATTGTTTTTACATGTAACTGGGGAAAAATTTTTAAAAAGATAAAAAATAAAAGTCACCCCTCCTTCCTTGAATTTCTCAAGCCATGCTTCTGCCCCATCCACACTCTAACTTGTATTGTAGCTATTTGTGCATTTATCACCAGCTCCTGAGGGCAGGGTTGAGACACCTTTTGTTCCTCTTTATACCAGGAGAACCAAGTAAAACTTCTTGAATAGAGCAGGTATTAACTGATTTCATGGGAGAATTAAGGTCCAGAGAAGGGATGTGATAACCAAGGTCACAGAACCTAGATCTCTTGTGCTTTTCCCACTAACCTCCATGGTTGGCTCATGGCTCTCACACTGGGAGCTGGGCTGTCTTAAGTGATTTTACTCTTCCAACCCAGGGTTCTTTTCTTACCCAGAACGATCCACTAAAGTCTCTCTTTTCCATGGGAAGGGCATAGGGCTCCTGTCTAGCTCCTCCCCTACCTTCCAGTTTTATGTCTGTTGCAATCTTTCTTTCAGACTGCCATGGAATCAAATGACAGAACCTAAGGAGCTGGATATTCCTGGAATTCTCCCCCCCATCCATCGTCATCCTGCTCTGCTGGAGGCACCTCCTGCTGCCAGGGCAAGACTCACCAACCACTCGCATGGGGATGGGAACAAACTTGGAGCACTATGGAGAACCTTCAGGGCCCTGACCTCAATTACAGTGCCATTCAAAAGTTATTCCCTATCTCCATCAACTTGCACCAACAGTATCTTCTTTCCTCAGAAGCAACGGTCATTCCAACACAGCCTTCTTTCCTTACAGAAATCGCTACTCACACGTGGGCACACAGGTTCATGTATGTGCATAACACACATTCTCACAACTGTACACATATGTGCTCTTACATGCCCATAGTCATATAAACAATGCACATAGAGCATTTGTCCACACATCGACACAAACATTACACATACATGCATTCACAGTGTTCCCATGCTTGCACATACAAGGTTTGCACTCATGTTCACTTATGTACTCACATATGCACGTTCCCACTTGTCCTCACACACACAAACATTTGCTTGCCCCATTTTCTCTTTGTTGGATTGTATGTGGTGCTATACAATGTTTCCAATTCATTTCCTATTTTTCTTCCTGAAACGCCAGCGATAACTAGCTCCCTAATGCATTCTCTGGCAACCTCCCCTATAATTCAGTTTGCACCTTCTCCTCTCTCCATATATCTCAATAGATAATTAGCAAGCCTGATACTTAGGAAAATGAGTCTTTCTTTCCCCGTAATCTCAGGACTCTGCTAATAAATGCAGACTTGGAGATATCTGTGTGTGCTCTTGTCAGTTCCCCCATTCCACTCCGATTGGAACCAGGTTCTGCTATGATCATCTATACCGTGTTACAGGAACACTGATATGAAAATAAATATGCTTCAGGGACCCATTTTAATTAAAACTTGTCCCATTAAACTCAAATTAGATCTACCAAGAATACTTGCTGACAAGAAGGTGATCTTGGGCTGCATTAACAAAAGTCCACCATCCACAGCAAAGGAAGTGATAAGCCTGTAGTCTTCTGATCAGACCACATAGAGAGTACTGTATTCCGTTATGGGGGTGCCACACTTCAAGAAGAATAGCAGGAATTGGAAAACTGGCAATGAGGCTGGGGCATGTTACTAGAGCCCATGCCATATGAGGAATAGGGAAAGAAAGTAGGAATGTTTAACCTGGAGAAGATTTGGGAGTTGGAGTGCGTGTGTGTGTGTGTGTGTGTGTGTGTGTGTGTGTGTGTGTGCGTGTATTCGGGAGGGTGTTTATGATCACTGCTTTTAAGTATTTAATGAGCTGTCACTCCAAGAATTATCCATATTCTGTTTGGTCCCAGAGGGCAGAAATAGCAGTAAAGGGAGAGAATTTACAGGGAGGCTTCTTTTAGCTCAAAATAGCAGGATCTTCCTGACAACCCAAACTGTTTAAAAAAGGAATGGACTGACCTGTTATATATGTAACTTGAACTTGAAATGTTCAGGCTGGATGATTTACCAGGTATTCTTACATTGGGTGGGAGTTTGGACTAAACATTCTCTGAGATCCCTTTCAACTCAGAGATTGTAGGATTCTGTGAATTTAGGTCTATGTCTGGTACTTTGTTAATTAAGGTGGCTGGTTTTGATTTGGGTGGGATGAAGAAAAACTGCACTGAGTCATATTGTTTTGGCTTATTGCTTATTGGAAGATGTGCAACTGTCTTGTAGCAACTGTGGACTCATCATGATTCAGGTATTGGAAACAGAGACTATGAAGCCAGCCTCTGTCTCCTAGAGATGTTCCCTCAAAACAGTATCTGGCACAATCTTCCCAATTCTCATTCCCATCACTGCCACCATTGTTGTCATCACCGCCAGCCTCTTTTTCTGGCCCCATGATATGATGGGTTTCTTGACCACTGTTATAGGATATAGAAAACCATGTCACAGCCTCCTCACCCACACTCATTCTGCACTTCCCACACAGACTGCTTGCCCATCTTTCCCCACAACCTTGAGGAAAATTCTATCCATTCTTCAAAACCCTACTTTTACAGCACTTCCCAAGAAAGTCTTCTTTGAACACTGTGTTCTCTCTTTACTCTGTGGTCTTATTAATCTTTAGGTCTGTGTTACTCATCTCATCTCGTAATCACCTATAATGAGAATCTCGGTGTTGGAAGGGGCTTCAGAAGTCACCTGAATTGTAAATTCCTTCTACGACACCGTCCACAAGGGGTCGCCACAACTGTCTTAGATTATCAGGCAACTGTTTGACGTCTATTAATTCAGTTAGTGCAGTGACTTGGGAGGCTCTATTCCCAGCTCAGTTCCTCATTCCCTTTGTGATCCTGCCCTCGAGTGCATGAATGAAGCCTTCGGCTTCCCGAGGATAGGGACAATTTCTTTTGTAGCACCTCCAGTGTCAGACACAGTGTTGAACATGAAGCAGGCCCTCAGTCATTATTTATTTAACTGAACCAAAGCCCGAGGGGACAGTCAGAGTAGTACAGTGCTGAGAACGCTAGACTTGGCCTTAGAAGACCTGAATCTGAATCCTGGTTCTGCATTTTCCTGTGGCTGGGTGATTCACTTCATGAAACCTTTCAGCCTCATTGTCCTCATCCATAAAATGGGAATAATACTCTGTCTCCCAGGGTTATTGTAAAGAAAGGGTTTCATAAACTTTAAAGAGTTATAAAATCATGATTTGTGTTATATGATACATATCTATGTGTAGATGTGAATATTTATGTGTATATGTAGATAGATAAAACTTACTTCTCTGGTACTTTGTTTATGAAGCATTTTTCTCATACACAACATGCATGCACCCCCCCCCACACACACACAGAGCATGTTTCTTACTACCAAGTAGCTGTGTAGAGGGAATGCAGTTCTTCAGCTATCCAATCACAATCCCATCCCCTTTTTAAAGGCACCTCTAGGCAAAATGGTGGCCAGTTATGAACGACCTATCACTAGGGGCCCCTACAGCTGCCAGATTAGATTACGAAGTGGGACTAGGTGGGCTCTTCTGACTGAGATGGTCGTTATCATTATAATTCCTTTAACTTAGATTGCTTTACCAGGTGGTCAACAGAAGTATGCTCAGATAGACTCAGTTAAGAACTATTCTCCTTGTCTTCTGTGAGATTTGTTATCCACATAGGCTTATCTGATTTGCACTTGTAAAGAACTCTATAGATCATGTAATCCAACTGTCCCATTTTATATGGTGTTCTCTTTTAAGTTTTACTAACCAGGAAATCCTCTAATAATGGTGAAGTTAGTTTGTGTAGAAAGAGAACATACCAACACCCAGGGACCAGTCCTCCAATATGGTGGCTTCACTAACTTTCCCTTTTATTAGATTTTCTCTTATGGTGTTAGGAGAAGCAGAATTCTTTGGGGTGTGTATGTGGGGAGGTAGGGGAACGTCTCTCTCCTTCCAAGCAAACAGGAGAGTTTACTAGCCATTTCTGTTTTTATAAAGACTCTGATTCAGACCTGGGCACAGGATGCTGTATGGTAGAAGTCTTGGTATGAATATCCAGGATTAGCTGGTAAGGAGGAGACACAAATGGTCTATATAACACGACCTATTGCCAAGGCCCAGACCATTGAGAAATCATTTCCAGCCTACCCAAAAAGTAAATGATGTTGATCACAAATCTGCTATTTTGAATGAGTGCATGTCCAAATCAGGTTTTGGTGTTCCACACCAGAAATTCTTCCTTACTCATGAACTTCCAACATGGGAACTAAGTTTTAAAGCAGATGATAGGATCCTAAATTATGAATCATTTTCCTTCTCTGGGGACAAAACTAAAGCAGGTGGTTATCTGATTGGGAGGGGCTGCTATATCAAACTTGGCTTGGCTATCTCCCCAGCACTGAACGCTTTCCCCAATCTTGTACCGTTTCAGTGTCTCTTAGAATGATCTACGCTCTCTGAAACAGGATGCTGTCTGCCTGATAAGGAAAACACCATCACTCCGCTTAACGCTATCCCACGGCAGTATCAACAGCGAGAGCTAAGAGGGAGAGGCAATGACTCCAGCCATGGGGGCGGAGGAGGAGTGAAATGCTTCAGCAACTGGCCATATATTCAGCTGCACAGCTAGCCCATGCTCCTCTGATGAGGAATTATAGGAAATAGGAATGTTACAGTGATTCTTCAACCCCCAGCTGACCTGTAAAGGCAATTACGACACTTTTCTTACTGCTAGCATCAATCTCCTGGAGCAGCACATGCATGAAGGCCCCCAGCTATGGAAATGCCTGACCAGGAAACAAATTCCCTGTTCCCTCTTTGGTTGGGAGCACATTCCAAGGTTGCTGGAGGCCTTATGCTTGCAAATGACTATCATGGCACCATGGATGGGATTTTAAAACATTTTCAAGTAGACTTTATTATAAAATATTGTCATTCAAAGAGTACAGAATGCAATAAACCAAATACAGAATGGAATTATATCCTGCTTCTCATTCTCACCTAAATTTCTCAGTGACTAACAGGAATTAAAATCTACTCCCTTTGTAAACCCCAGGGCCCAGAGATTACTCCAAGGAGCTTACTCCTGGTAGATGGAGCTGAGCTCTCCTAGGTAGAAGCAGAGCCTCCACTGGCTTAGGTCATTGCTCAGCCTTTCAGAAGTCTATGCCCAAACTCAGAAACAGTCAGTCACAGACTCAGACTGTGAGGGAGCAAAAATATCCAAGACAAATTAAGCTGAGCTGGACTGGGACATTTCTTCAGAAAATTCAGAGATACCCTTCCACTAATAAATGCTAAGATCCAGCTTGTCAAAGACCTTCGATTTCCAGGGAACTTGGTGCCAGCCAGGAGTTAGGCTCTCGTTCACTCAGGTGTCACTGGACATTTGTAGGGCAGGGATGGGGAGGCTGGTACCAGGTGGCTGGTCCAGGACAGGTCTGGTTGACTCAGAGCAAGCACAATAAACTGTTCCACATACAAATCGCTCAGAAGTGGAATTCACTGCATATAGCTAGAATATTCTGCTTGTTCGAGAGAGGTCATGGGCTACGGCTCTAGACCTTACGCCCATAGAAATCAGCTGGTCTTCTGTAGCCTCTGTCTCTGTAAGAGGAAGTAGGATGCCAAGAGAGTGCGCAAGCTTTTTATGGGGAGGAGAGATAATAAGGGTTACTAGGGCCCAAGATACAGCAATGACTTAGGGAGAGGAGTACACAGAGCTAGCCCATGGATCTCCAAGAATTCCTTGGGAGAGCACAGAGGCTGTGGAACTGCTTACAGAAGCCACAGTAATTACCTAAACCTTCGGATACCAATTATTTGTAGGCTGAGGGGGAAAGAGGAGTTCTTTGTGACACCATCAACCTTCTACTTATTGAATGTACCTAATAATTCCAGATAATAAAATATTCAATTTTTTTGCTAGTGAGGTAGAGAAAAGTTTATTGTACTAGCTACTGAATAGGGCTGAGGAAAGTAAGCACAAGAATATAAGACAAATACTGTACATAGCCTTACTTTGAAGAAAAAAAGGTGAAGAAAACTGACTTCACCAATAAGCACTAAAGTGATAATCATTTCCTGAACAGAAATCAAAATCAAACTTAAGACAGCTTACTGAAAAGAATTCAGGATCCTGAAAGGGAAAATTTAACTATATGAGAGCCCTTTTGAGCAGTGAATTACCAACTAATTGCTTTTCTAAATGACTTTAGCACTTGTGAATTGGGGTTGCAGGAAAAGCACAAGGAACTCAAAGTCTTTATCTTTCTTTGCTGTACAGGACCCCACAGCCACAAGTTGGCCTAGTGGGTCAATGGCCAGTGTGGAAATCCTGCAGGTGGAGAGATAGTAATGGTCAACTTCCACCCCCTGGCCATCTCCATCTGCTGAAAGGGGCTCCAAAAGGTACTCATTGTGTCCTTTTAGGTAGTGAGGTATCTTCTTGACTCAGGGACCAGAGTTAGAAAGACCTGAAGCACATGCCATCAAGGGTGTGGCACTCATGAATTTTGGGGTTTTGTATCTTGGTGGGCCTGGGTTTGGTTCTCTGGTGACTTATGACTTATATCAGGGTCCTCAAGTGTCTTCTGTCTCTAAGGCTGTCTTCTAGAAGCAAGGCTGGGGAGAATAGTTCTAAAAAGCCAGAGACATTGAGGCTGTATTTAAACACATAGAAGGTATTCTTTTGGGTGCCTTTCTGTACTTGGGGTTTCCCAGGCACTGTCATAAGTGATGGGAAGGGTATTAAAGGGGAAAGGTATGAAAGAAGGAATCATTTCCTCCCCTCCAGAGACACATATCGATCTCCATCCAGAGACGTTTTTGAGAACAAAACTTCCTCGGTCAATTCCAAAGCTTTACTTAATGCAGAGAAAGCATGTCTGAACATAGCACTTACACTGGATTCTCAAACCAGTTTTGCCTCTTGTAGAAATGCATATTAAAGATCAAATGCCTTGAATTCACCTAACCTGGAGCTTCCATGTTGGAGTAAAATTGAATTATTAAAGTATTTCAAAAGCAAAGAGATGCTTTAGCTGTACTCATCATTCAGACACACCACTGAAATATTTTTTTTTTAAAATGGATGGAGGATTTGGCCACACTTTCTGCTCTGGGGAATCTTCCATTGTATAGATTTGTCTGTATCCAGGCAAAAGAAAGCCCATACATGGAACTGGCTGGGACAGCGTGAAGCTCCTTCTGCAGGTACTGGTTGGGAAGGGACTACCCTTTTAAAGCGATGAGAGGTCATCTGGCTCTTTCCCTGAGCATAGCATAGGTTGTTGTCTTCATCAGTTATCCTTTCCTTTGCATTTCTGCTTAGGTTTAAGCCCTTCTCCGATTTCTTTTGGTTCCCTAACTTGTCCTTTCCCTGAATTGAGTCACACTCATTCTCTCCTCTTCAGCCAACCCTAGACCTCAACCTTCTATATATCTCTTGCCTGAGCTGGTGTTTGATCTGCATTTACACGGCCTGGACGACATACCTACTTTTTTGCCTTGACCGATGATGCCTCTCTGTTACACAGTAAAGCCTCTCTTGCTCTAGGATTCATGGGATATAAGTGCTGCCGAGAAGATTAAAGCAACCAGCAGTTGGCTCATGGTCATCAGAAGCCAACATGAAATGCAATAGTTGGTTCGCAATCCTGACAGCAGGTAGCATATTAATAGCAGGGCAGGAAGAAGATATGGCCAAGATGCTTAAGAGATACTTTAAAGTAACTCTTAGAAAGAAGAGTTCACCCATGGTGTGATCTTAGCTAAATATGTGTGACTGACAGACAACTTTAAATAGAACTAGGGTAGGGAAAAGCGTATGTAAATTTATGTAGTATAATAGTGCTTTATTTCTCAAACAGCTGGTTTCGTCTAGACCTCAACTCAAACCTACTGAGTGGAATAAATAATTTCTCAAGACCAAAGAGTAATAGTACCCAATTTAACAGCAGCACTTCCTATCCTCAGAAGGGCATGACTCTAAACTGGATTGCTGTAAAAATTAAGAGCAGGATGAGGGCATTGAACCTTCATTTTCAGGCCCTGGGAATCGACAGTTAAAACCCAAAGGCAGAATCAAAGCTGGGGCTGTGCCTTATTTTTTTCCGCAGAAAGCCCTGGCCAGACTCTGGGGCATCAGGGTTGGTGCCCTACAGGAACTTTTATGTGGAAGATGAAAGACTGGTGGGTTACACCTCTTTGAGTATTATTAGTTGAGGGTGATCTCCACTTGTCTAATGAGGCCACCTTCCTAATCAGGTGAATAGAAACTGGTTCTTCAAAGATGGGTTCACTTAGCACTGAACAAAGGCTAAAGGCTAACAGGGATGGTGTGTGGGTTGGTGGGCCCCTAGTGGTCTAATCAGGGATCAGAAGGCCTTTGGAGGAGGCTCTACTAAATCCAGTTTGAAAGGGAAAGTTCAGCCCATTAGGGTGAAGTTGGATGGGCCAATCACTGAGGAGAGCCCCAGGGGCCACCAACGATACTGGCAGACCTATCAGATTTGACAGTGGATCTATCGATAGCCAGGAGGTCCCATTCTGCAGATGACTAACACCTTATTGCCTCTGGCCATTGGGTACATACACAAGGCCCCCTAAGTTCACATTGGCTTCTAGGTTTCACTCCTGCTAGAAGACTCTGAGATGATCTCATAAGAAGGGTTTGGAATGAAACCAGGCTACTACTCTTGATGAAGAGAAAAGTAACTGCTTCTTCCTTGTGGCCCATTTCTAATTAGCCTGAGAGGCCTGCAGAAGCATCTAATTGTTTGGTACAGACTCAGATGGCAAACCCTCAGCCAGCTGGCTAGAAGACGTTTGTGACACAAGGCTAAGGGAAATTAAACAAAACCTTCTGGAAATAGTTTCTCAGTTCAATACACTGACTAGCCACAAAGAAATTCTGCACACAGAAAAATAGACATCCTCTTTTTAGCAGCAGAACAAGTTCAGAATCTGTCCACAAGCTCAGCCAACCTCAATATGTTCATCCTCTCCTCTTTTATGTAAAAGTTAACTAGAATGGGTATTATCTGTTTTTATTGATTTACTCAATACAACCAGAAAGACAATAGCAGGTAGTTAAAAAAAAAACAACTTCTCCTATTTTCCAAGTTTAAAATGAGTTTTTCAAGTAATCTAAGATGACCTAAAAGAACAATGATACACGTGAAGGCTGACAACCTTGTGCTCTATGCCCAGAGCAAAGTGACAAGCATTTTCCTAGCAAAGTCCTCCAGGGCAAAGTGCACACAAGTAGCAGAATCCCCAGGGACCAGTTCTGCCCTCTCACCCTTTTCCCTATAAATATTTGTGGCTTAATTTAAGAATCTTAGGTGAAAACAGAGCAAAAGGGCTCATGAAACCCTCATGAGGGGGCTTTCCGACTCAGACTAAAAAAATACTTACATATATCTCTAGTCAGTGACAACTCTGCTCTGTCAACCCTGTTGTTAATGAGTGTTTGTTAACAGGGTGCATGCTGCTTTAGAAAGAGCTTCAGGTGTAAGCTGATGCAGACAGAGAATTCTGCCCTGACAGAGGGGAGGAGAGCTAAAAGGCTCAACGTAGCCCTGTCCATTTTGTCCCTTATACCCTTGTTCTGCCAAAAGGAATCTGAGCCTTGGCCCTGTGCTGCACTGAGATAAAGGATACCTTATGATTTCTTTTTGATTTTAGATGTGGCAGGGGTTTTGTAGTAGTTTTTTTGTGACAATTTTGGGCTTGGGGTCATGGAGGACTTATCCAACTCTCCCTTTGGTAAAGGTGTAACTGGTTTGGTGGATGGGGAAGCCTGAGGGAACATGTTTTCTGAATTGTCCATACTCCGCTGCGGACTGGTCATTTTTCCACTAGCAGGGACCTAAAAACAAAAGAAAAGTCCAGAGTGAATTTTTCAAAAACCATATTGGATATTGATAAGCAAGAAAACAACTACAAAATTCTTCTGAATGTTCAGAGTTGGAATGCTAGATAGATTTTTAGGTAAAATGAAATAATGTAAGCTTAGTGCTCCGCAAACATTAAATTCCCATATAGACGTCAGTAATTTCCGGTATCTATGTAAAACATTGTTATATAACAACAATGATAGCTAACATATTAGAGTGCTTTAGGATTAGCAAAGTGCTTTCCTCAAAATAAGTCTGGGATACCGAAGGTAGTATATGACCTGCTAATTGCTGTTAATCTGTAGGGGCAGGGACTCAACAATCTGCTATATCATAGCACTCTGCTGACATTTCTTTCTTAAAGGTCACCAAACACCCCCTTATCCCTAAATCCAGACCACTTCTTGGTCCTTTTCCTCTTTGATCTCTATTCTATAGGTGAAGAAACTGAGGTTCAGAGTGGGGAAGTAATTTTCCCAAGGTCACACAATTAGGTGGTGTCTGAAATGGGATGAAATTTGAACTTAAGCCTCCTGACTCCATGTCAAGTACTGTTTCTACAGTACCAAGCTATAAAATAAACATGAAATGTCAGTGAAAACTCCTGTTAACAGCTCCATGGAAGCTCTGAATTGTGGAGTGTTTGATACAATGGGAATTGAATAGGCTCAGTTTCAAATCCTCATCTGAGAAAAGAAAATAGGGGCAGCTAGGTGGCGCAGTGGATAGAGCACTGGCCCTGAAGTCAGGAGGACCTGAGTTCAAATCCAGCCTCAGACCAACACTTGACACTTACTAGCTGTGTGACCCTGGGCAAGTCACTTAACCCCAATTGCCTAAAAACCAAAAAAAAAAAAAAGAAAAGAAAAAGAAAAGAAAATAACACTTATATGGTGAAGTCCACTTTGACCTGACAGCTCTTATCTGATGTCATCAGTATTTAGAGACATTTCTATATAGATTCAGTAATTTAGAGGAATGACTTTAAAAGTGCATTTTGACCCCTGCTCAGAGTGATCCTCTTGTTCGTGCTCAGGAAATACGTTTCCTGAACATCCAGGGGATGTGTTTGGACTGTTTCCTATTTGCTCCCCATCCTCTAGACTGATAGCAGTGTTTACACCTATGTACTCACTCCCCTGCAGACTTGAACTACCTTTTAATGTTGAAAAATGATGAGCCCGGTATGAAGAAGGTAAACTGATTTCCTTCTAGCCACCAAGCATTTAGGAAGGGACTCTTTCCTGTCGTATCTTGCTGTTCCAAGGAAACTACACAAGTAGTCGGCAATTAGAAGGGAACTAAATCACAGTACATTCATGTTCATTTAAAAAAAAACCCTTTCTTTTGACCCTTCTAATACCTCATATCTCTGCTCTTTTCATCACCAAACTCCTTAAAAAGTTATCTACATTTGATATCTCCCTTGTTTGACCACCATCTGAGGGAGGACGCACGGCTACCCCTACCACCATAAAAGAAAACGATTCCAGGTTGATACCATGCGTGTGATAAACTTCCAGCTACCAAGGCTTTGGGGTTCATAGGGCAGACAATTTGCAGGAGGGACCTCAGATGTTAAAGAGTCCAAACTCCTCACTTTACAGATCAGGGAACTGAGGTTTTAAGTGGCTTGTCCAAGATCAGGATTTGATCCTTGACCAGTACTCCATCCACCATGCTGCCATTTACTTACAACATGGGGAAGCAGAAAAGATAATCCAAAGACCTGAATTCAAACCACATTTCAGATGCTTTCTACTGGGATGACCTTGGGAAATTCATTTCTTGTCTCTAAACTGCTTGGACGGCATGTGAGGTTGTCAAATGCTTTGCTGAAGCCTCAGTATTCTACATCCCTTGATCTTGCGGCCAAAAGGAAATAAAATTTATTTTGCGTGACCTATTTCTTGACAAAGTGATGTTAACTCTTGGTGATCATCACTTCTATTTCTAAATGCTCACAAACCATCTCTTTAACAATATAGTCTAGACTTTTACTAGCAACAGAAGTCAAGCTTATTGGCCTAAAGTTTTCTGACTCCGTTCTCTTTCCTTTTTATGAAAGTTGGGACATTTGTTCTCCAGCTCCAGATCACCAATAGTGGGGTGAGTCATCTAGGTTTCTCCCAGACTCAGTTTACTCCTAATCTAGCCTTCTATACTAGCTGCTTCTGTGAACTCCTAGCTTTATTCTCAGCAATGCTCATTCCTTTGGACTTTGTCATCTTCTTCCTCCCCTCTACCCATCCCCACCCAAGAAGATTTCTCTCTCTTTATCCAGATCTACTAAGTGCAGCTAATTTCTAGAATACTGTAGGGGGCAGGGTACTAAAACCCTTCTGTACCACTCTTATTGATATTGCTTTCTCAAAAGTCACCCAAGTCCTATCACCAAAAATTCAGGCCTCTTCTTGGTCCCTTTCTTCTTTGATCACTCTATAGCATTTGAGACAGTTGACCACAGTGTCATTTATTCTGCCTTGTACTGTAGTTGTTTGCAAATATTTCCTACACTAAGCTATATAATGATAAGTTTCTTTGGGGGGAGTGGGGGTCCTATGTTCTATCTATCTTTTTTAATTCTGTTGCCTGGCATAGGACCTTGAAAATGGCAGGGTCTTGATAAATGTGTGTTGAATTATATGCTACATGCAAAACATTCATCAACAGAATGAGACGTAGCTAATCCCTGACCTCATGGAATTTATAGGGGGAAGACTAGAGGGATACGATTAATTGGAACTGTAGGTGAAGAGCTCAGGAGAGAAGTCAGGGCTGGAGATATAGATCTGAGAGTCATCCAAATAGACCTGATCTTAGAAGTCTTAGGAATATGTGAGTTTGCCAAAGCAGAGAGTATGGAGGAGGGCATGAGATGACCTTTGCCAGGAAAGAGGAGACCATGAAGGAAGGGCTTCTGTGATACCATATGCAGCTGGTTCTCCTCCCACTTCCCTGATTTTGCCTTTTCTGCCTCCTTTGCTAGCTGATTCTTCATAAAAGTTCTATATCCCATTAATAATAATAACTAACCTTTATATATTGCTTTATGTATATTATCTTATTTAATCTTCACAACAACCCAGTAAAGTAGATGCTGTTATTATCCCCATTTTACAGAGGAGGAAACTAAGATGGAGAGAAATTAAATAACTTATGCAAGGTTACATCTACTAAGTGTCTAAGGCAGAATTTAATCTCAGGCATTTCTGACTGCAGTCCAATACTCAATCCATGGCACCACCAAGCTGCTTAAGACGAACGTTGTCCAAAGGTCATCTCACGGAGCATGGTGAAGAAAAATATCCAGAGGGGCAGCTAGGTGGTGCAGTGGATAAGTTCTGGCCTTGGAGTCAGGAGGACCTGAGTTCAAATCCGACCTCAGACACATGACACTTACTAGCTATGTGACCCTGGGCAAGTCACTTAACCCCAATTGCTTCACCAAAAAGGCAAAGAAAGAAAGAAAGAAAGAAAGAAAGAAAGAAAGAAAGAAAGAAA